ATACAAGAGGGTGGCTGCACCCGCTTGTGAAGAGGTTGCCTCCCCGCCTACCTGGCTGCCAGAACGTTCCTTTCTAATAATTGACTGATGGTGGGGTAGTTCTGCTACTGACTCTCTCCACTTCGAATGATGAGAGTGAGATGATGAAGGGAAAACAACTGATACCAACAAGAGAGAACTCGTGACGACGCCTTGTCTTCTTTCTGCACCTACAACTTCAACTCAGCGTAGGGTTCTATATAGGGTGTCCCCGTGCCCGTGTTTTTTTTCTTCTTATTGCTTCACTACTACTGGATCAGCTGCTATCTTGTTTTCACTATAGGAGCCCCATAACTCGCTATTTTCAAATGCAGGCTCAGCCTTTGAAGGCTGCGCCAAAGCAGTTGTGGCAGCCAGGTGGGCGGGACAGCAACTTGTTCACAAGCGGGTGGCGCTTTCCTCACGTATTTTTAGCTACAAAATCAGTATATTCTCCACTCTTGTAATCGAGGCTATGATATCCAAGGAGGGCGTAGGAACATCGAATGAACGCGGGCTCTGCCTTCAATGCTGGTACATATGTAGTTGTGAGAGTCTTCTGCGAATAATGAAAGAACTAGAGAACTAGAACTAGGAAAAGGCTCATCTTCCCTCAATTTTCTGTTCCATAGTCGGGTGAATAATCTCACTATGCACGTTGTTTTATGGCATTTTTATGTACTTTACGAAGTGTTACTTTTAATTAACTTTTATGGTCTCATGATTTCTTTCTATTACACGATAATTTACTGTAAGCGTTCGTGTGAACTTGCGCGTTCTAGTGGATAAAGCTCCGACATTGCTCCTAAGCTGGGGGCATCACTTAAACCATTAGCAGTGCTATAACATGAAGAAGAAACACGGCTGTCTACGATCAAACAGCATCGAAAGGTCCGGTTCAGTTACCGGAAAGGAACTGTCAGAAATGTCGGCATGGTTTTGAAATAAATCGTAAAGGGTGCGGGAATGGATTTTGGGAACATCCAAAGTGTCTTCAAAGCGTATTGGGAGTTCGTGACTATTCAGTGACCAGTTGGCCCGAGGCCTTATGTGGAAAAGGCTCACTAGATGTACCAATGTGCAGATGTGCACCGCGCGGAGGATCGTTGCAGTAACGCGAGAATCGTTTCCCGAATAATGCTAGACAAAACGGTCAAAACTTCGTTGGTTGATGGTGCCTACTCAGAAGAGTGTCAGTAAGAGAGAATTCACCACGAAGGCACTGCTTACTGCTTCTGGAAGGCCTCATTCTTAATAATAAGGTATCCGCGGCAGATTACGCGCTTCCATCACTATAGATGAGGTGAAAACAAATGTTCAAGCCTATCATAAGAATGGGTTCTGAGATGGTGGGCTCCATTCAGAATCCAGGCAGGCAGCGCATGTTCTTCCTGGTATTTCATACATGAGTACAGGACTCGGAAGTGGTGTGGTGGTTAATCCAAGAGGAGATCCGCTGGAAAAAGTGCGCATTTCTGAAACAGGAGCATTTGCAGTGCACTTTCCTTTTAAAGACACATGGTACGCTCATACGCATTGAGGGTGTATGTGACTATCAGCCCCCAGCTGTCGATGTGTCGTGGTTTCCCCGCCCGAAACTGCACGGGGTTAGAGTACAGGGCCGTGGGAAAGTCTAATTCGTCCATGCTCCGCCTACCGTTTATGCTAACAGCCGTTCCGCGCGGCGCGTGTCGCGCAGCTCTCTTGGCTTTTTGCCAAGTCCTGTAATTGCGCTTTGGAATACAAGTAAAACGCAATTTCCTGATGCGGATAACATTTTGGTGCTGCAAAATAAGAACCGAAGATGATGACGAGGGCCAGAACTCAAGAGCAACTGTGCTGCTTCTGCAATATCCCTCGAGGCCGCGCATTCCCACAAAACATGAAAATAAAAACGGCCTAAGCGTCCCACTCGTTAGTTTGAAGTATTTCTATGGCTTTGGAGCCGGATTCGCGCCGGATCGCAGAAATTTACACGCGATTTTAATTAATTTGCGTTTCCTTGAATTTTTCATTTTTGTTTTATTTACATCTACATTCGTTGTTCTTCATTTCTAGCCTTTGTCATCTTCATCACCTTCTATTCGGACTTTGCAGCATGAGCAACACCTCAAATGTTATTCGCATCAGGAAATTGCGTTTTGCTTGTATTAAACTAACGAGTGGAACGTGGGCCGCGCTTGGGCCGTTTTTATTGTCATGTTCTATGGGAATGCGCGGCCTCTGAGAGATGTTGCAGAAGCAGCACAGTTGCTCCTAAGTTCTGGCCCTCGTCATCATCTTCGGTTCTTATTTTGCAGCACCTAATGTTGTCCGCATCAGAAAATTGCGTTTATTAGGTTGTCCGGAAAGTTCTTAGCGTTTTGGGTGTTTAACTTTAAACGATCATAACTTTCTTAACACTCATCGGATTTAATCCAAATAAGCACCATTCGAATCAGCACACTTTTGCCAATGTGGCAGCAGTCGAGAAATCCCATCAAAGAAAAAACTGGGTGGTCGAGAATCCACGAAATCTGCGAAGGTCTTTTTTGCCTGGTCCTGTTTGATGAAGTATTTCTCAGCAGGAAAGTTCTGAAAATGTCTGAAAAGGTGACAGTCGGTTGGTGAAAGGTCTAGAGAATATGGTGGGTGAGGTAGAACTTCAACTCCCAATTCGTTCAATTTATGGATAGTGATTTGTGAAACGTGTGGGCGGGCGTTGTCATGCAAAAGAATCGGACCCTTTCTTTTGATAAGTGTTGGCTGCAGCTGACAATATTTTCGGTACATTTGGTCGGTTTGTTCACAGTAGGGTTCTGCTGTGATGGTTTGGCCTGGTGATGAAAAGTTATAGTGGATTACAACAGCCGATGACCACCAAACCTGACCAGAATTTTTTTTTCGCGAGGGTTCGGCTTTGAAAATTACCTCGGTGGTTCCTCCAAATCCAACCACTGTCCGGAACGTCTCCTGTTATCATACATGATCCATTTTTCATCACAGGTGACAAATCCGTTCAAAAACGGGTCAATTCTTTTGCGCAAAAGCAGTGAAGAAGGAACCTCGAGACGTGCCGATTCCTGCCGGTCACTCCGATTGTGGGGCACCCAATTGTCGAGTTTTTTCACCTTCCCAATGCGTTCCAGACCATCTGCAACAGTGGATTTGCAAACGCCTAGCTCTTCTGCTATCTCTCGAACTGTTTGGGATAGATGCAGCCTCCGAATCCCCTCAAATCCTCGTCAGATATTGCTTTAGGTCGACCGCTATGAGGTTCACCTTCAAGGCTGAAATTTCCAGAACGACATTTGTTGAGCCATTGCGGCACAGTGCTTTCTCTAGCACTATTGGGCCTCCACACCTGGTTAATTTGTTGAGCTGTTTCGATTGCGGATTGCCCCAATTTATAGCCGAAGAAAAAAATCGTCCGAAGTGCTCTTTTCACATGCTTGAAAAAATCTTGAAAAAAGAGGGTTTATCAAGCAATGGTGAAACGGCAATTATACCATCAGATAGCGCAAGAAATTCTCTACAGGATGTGCTACTGAGAAGCAAGGCAGAATGAGTTTTTAATCAGCAGTGAATGTACAAAGAAATAGGTGCACAAACGCTACTGAGAACTTATGCCGGACAACCTAATATGAGGAGAGTAAAGAGCTGAAATGTGCTCAAAGCATGAAAGGGGAGAGGGGCGCGCAATATTGGACGGAGCTTGCCCTAAATCGCAGGATACTCATTTTTAAAGTTTGTAGCTCGGTTCCAGAGCATTGCAAAGACCGGAAAAACGTGCATCAAGGTCGGCAAAGGGTCGCCGGTGAGGACTGTGGGGCACAAACACTGTGGGCGGGGCCTGCTCCCGTTTGGGCGGAGTCAGACGAAAAATCTGTAAAATAAATTTCAGAGCAACTCCTAGACACACAGGGAAAAAAAAAGCTGAATTTAAGATCAGGCAGCAGGCGTCGACCGGTGCAGGACTGGTGGGGCAAAAAACTTTGTTAGGCTAGCCTGCTTCGCATGCGCGGGCCAGACAAAAAGTTTGTAAAACGGTTCCAGGGCCACCTTCAAAGACCAGTAATATAAAGTGGATTCAGGTCAGGGGGGGTCGCGATTAGCGACAAGTGGGGTCATCATATTGTGCGGCGGACCAGCCCGAGGTGGGCGCGAGCCAGACAAAATTCTCTAACAACAATGTCCAGAGCGCACTTCGTGAAGACCCGAGACAAAAAATTGTGTATTAAGGTCAGCAGAGGGTCGCCGGTGAGGACTGTGGGGCAAAAACGTTGTGGGCGGAGCCTGCTCCGAGGTGGGCCGGGGTCAGACCAAGAATCTGTAAAGTACAAGAGTACTTCAGACACCGGAAAAAAAGTGGAGTACAGAACAAAAGGCGAATATCAGATGACTCTAGAAATATGTGAAGACAAAGTACCTGCGGCGAAGCCCGCGAACTGCCGGCGCGGGGCGCAGCCGGGCCCGTATCAGGAAGGAGCCGCGCGGCGGTCAGCCGGCGAGCGACTGTATAATATATATTCAACGGCGATCCGTGTTTTGTAATCCTCTACTGTCAAACAGATCTCCGTGTTGCGGATCGTTGGACATTTAATCAGCTCTATCCTGTGAACGAAAAATAAACAGTACAAAAGGATATTCAGAAGTAAATAAATTGAGATCAAAGGCATGAAAAAGGTTGACCTTTCCAACGCACATATTCGGGCATCTTATGAATCCCGTCGAACATTTGCTGCTTTGCTCTCATGTCGAAACGGTCCCCAGGCCATTTTCCTCAAAAAGCCACGACAAATTCCATTTCTTGCGTAACTAAGGAGGCAGGACGTGTCGAGCAAGCACACTTCACATCCTTCAGTTAAGCACTATCTACAGTTGGTCCCAACCGAGTCGCACTGACCTCTCCCACAAATGCCTATACCAGAAGGAACGAGTGAGAAACCCGGGCAGCGAATGGCAAAGGTGTCACCAAGGCTAACTAAAATCAGGGTCGACTTCCTCCCAATCATCCGTCATGATAGACGAACGACTTTTGTTTCAGATGAAGCGGTATTTCCATCGTTTTATGATTACAAGTACATACAGTCAGTTTCAGGCGGTCAGATTCAAGCAGTCACGAGGACTATCGGCTTCTGTGAACGTTCTTAGCCCAGAAGAAGAATCCAAACAACATCAGAAGAAAAAATTCAGCTATCGTGGTAATTATGGATCATTCTCAATCTAAATAGACTTTCGTCGACTCAACTTACTTTGATTGATGTCTGGGAGTCGCGGCATCCTATAAAGGCGCACAGTTCCTACGCTGTTCCAAGGACACTGAGCTACGTTTTGGATGTTCTTTTCTACAGCATACTATCAATCCTCTCTGCACTTTTAGGGGCTGTAATATGATATTATTGAATGCAGCACTGCATTCATACACAGCATATCCCTCACACTGATCTACCAGCTTAGGAATGACGCGGACGGGGTTGCGAGGGTTTATGGGGTTAGGTTCGATGTCAGGTTGGCCAGCTTTCTCCAGAATGGCCCTTCACTTTTTAACATTCATCGCTCACCTGGATAAGAAGCAAGTGGAGAAAAGCTGGTTGAGGGAGGTAGTTCTCTCTGATCGTAATGTTGGTGGCACAGCAGTTCATCCCATTGGCGCACCCTTCCCCCATTTACTTTGGGAGGAAGGACGCGCCAGTGAAGAAGACACAATGATTCTCTGTTTCTATGTCTACGTACCTCCTCCTCTCAAAAGGGAGTTTGCCTATGTGTTGCATTTGTACATGCAACTTGCTTTATATGAACCATAATACATTTCGACTCGTAGTGACGGAGGCATTCGAGGGTCTATTTGGTAGTGTTGGATTTGTGGTTTCAAGTGGCACCACTTACCGCAAGTGAGGACTGTTAATTGATTCCCAGATCTTCCTCAGGCCTATCTAACCGAGCCCCGTAAATTCGTTGCGCACGGAAGAATAAACAGTAAGTCGGTTATTGGCTGGCCCTCACAAGCCGTAAAGGGCATATCGCATTCAATAATTCACCACGATTTTCAACGGAGAATGCGCGGCGGGTCCCAAAGGAGGCTTGATTGGAACTGAAAGCTTGATTCTTACCATTTATATGGCCCTTTCAATCTCAGTGTTATCCAGCTGCGGGAACGTCACTGAGGGCGCCAGGGAGCATTTGCCCTTCCCTGCTTCACTAGTTCCGGTTTACAAGTCTCACTCTGGTGAAACCTGTGAACTCTTGTGAAGCTGGAGCAAGCTCGTCGAGCCACCATGGTAAAACCTGTCAACTCAAAAAAGGCTCTCTAGATGGGTCGACACGTCGATGGGAAGTGGCAGAAGTGCACATTGCCCCCTTCCCGTTGCCGAGCTGCCCCGTCACTGAGCATGTTCTCATCATGTCTCTCATCATGTTCTTATTAACGGTTATAACAGTGTGGATAGAAAGATACTTCGCTCATTTTCAAGGGCCAGCAGCTCGACGTGCAGGTCGACGTGGTGCGCTGCAGAAGTCGCAGGTGGCGGCGTCAGCTACGAACTTGGATCAGTTGAAGAGCGACGGAAACACCATCAGGTACAAACATGCCGAACAAAGCGCTCTTCTAACTTTCGCAGTCCTCGCTCCATACACTGTTTCCTTCTTCAAGCTGGTTTGTGGTGGCAACCTTCTACGAGAGTAGCTGCTGCTAGAAAAGTAAAAACCCGTTTGAAGTGTGCCGGCATTCGTACTTTACGAAAGGCGGAAGGGGGGAGGGGCAGGGGAAGGCATTTGCCGGAAAGCTGGAAATACGCTACATTTATTCGCCACATAAAAACGCCCGCTCTCATCGATAACTATTCAGGGTTGAGAAGCGCTCGATGAGTGTGCGAGATCTGAACGGTGAGGAGTTTGACTTCTCCAACAAGGATTCCGTCACCAGGTCCGGCATTTGATTTTCTGCTAAATATGTTCATAACTCGTACAAACGGCAATAATCAGAGTAACTTTAGTGCGGTCTTTAGTTGCTTGTTACGGTCGAACTCTCACAAAATCCGGAATACATATTTGTAAGGAATCCTTTCATTTTAGATGGACGTCACAAATTTTGGCCGAATTGGACTCGCTGCCGTCGAGCTGTGTCAATTTAACAGAAACGGGGAAAATTGATGGCCTCCCACTGTTCTTTCGGAGAGCTGATCGAAAAGTCGTGAACGGCTCGCATATGAACGATTGTCGAAGGTATTCTACGGTAAGCGACCTCCTGGAATATCCTTTCTCAGTCATTACTCTAGTACATCTTCTAACAGTGAATTCTCAATATCTGGAAGAGTCCTAGTGCGCCTTTCAGTCTCAGCTTTGCCTATGCTAGTCGCTGCACCAGTATTTTTTCGAACTCTATTCCAATAAAAGTTAGCATTCTGCTGCAATAGTTCTTCGAACTGCGATGATCCCAGTTGTGCATCACAATATCCACTTTACTTTATTCTCACCATGAGTTTCGTTCCCATGCAATTTCCTAGAATTTTTTTTGGACGATGTTTGATGCTGAAAGAGGCCAAGAAAAAATTGTGCGCTGAGGGCATGAACTTCTTCGTCCTATCCTTAGAAGGGAGCTGCGGGTTGTGTGTGCTAGTTCACCCACCCCGGAGCTCCTTACCTGCTAGAGTTCATCGAGGAAGCGTTCCTTGTTCTTTCACAAAAGAAGAAAAAGATGTAGTGGTCTCAGACACTTCGCTGCCATATACCAAAACACCTTTTTTGTAGGAGTAGCCCCTTTTCGAGACTCTCAGGCCAAAGGGCAGACAACCAGAGTCGCCGAGAGGTTTTGCAGAGTAGGCATACACGCACTGCCCTTCCTTGCGTCGATGTTTCCTCATGTTCCTTGTATCGCACCTTTTCTTTCCTTGATTTTTTTCTCTCACTTTTGATCTTGGACCGAGAGCAGATTTGACGCTCTCACACAACCAAAATGTCTACTGAAACAGTGGTCCTTACATGCCGTCATTTTCGCTGCGGGCGCTGGGGCGCGTCAGGGTGGTGGCTTTATTGAGGCACTAGCTCGTTCCTCACTGATTGTTGATGCAACAACAATTGGTGGGAACCAGGCTGGCGCTAAGCCAATTTTAGCCCCCTAACAGTCCACGGCGTCTGCAACTCGATAAACACATATGCGGAATTTGAATGAGACTGCACATAATTCGGGGGAGGTGGGTTAAGGGAGCAGCGCCTCTATGACTGTACCTCACCAGGCTTGTGCTTTTACTAAGCTGTGTTTACAATTCGCGACTTCAACAGCGCGAATCGAGCATGGAGACCGAATTCTCGAATCGCTGCGCCACTAATCTCAGAATCGCCGCTATGCGAACCCATTTAAATCCAACAGGAAACTCCTTACAGCCGTTGCAGTTCAAAAGCTGTCGATAGAGCACGGTCGGACGCAGTCGCGCGACTGGATCGCTCGAGTTACGAAGTATGAACGAGATGATCATAGAGCGCATATGGATAAGCACATACGACCAGAGTCGCCGCGGAGTTTTTCGGCAGGCGAGCAAGAAAATCGTAGTTTGCCGCTCCACCGCGCGCGGCGATGGGCGCGGCGTTTTCTCAACTCGTGTTAACCTGTCGATTGGAGCACCGGACTTCATGTAGACCCCGTCATCGTAGACATTCATGACTATTTTCGGTTCTGAATTGCCTGTTGTCGCCATCTACTACCTGGAACCATCGTCATCTGCGGTGCGACGTCGCACGCGACGCCCACCAGCCGCGGTAAATCACGATCCTCTTGTCACACACCCGGTTTCTCAGAGCAAACGGTCGCATGACTGTCTTCCACACCCGAACTGCGACAGTGCCGAAATGACTTCATAACGGTCGCATGACTGTCTTCCACACTCGAACTGCGACAGTGCTGAAATGACTTTATATCCTTTTCATCACATCATTCCTTTCCTTGAGCCCATTTTTCTCTAACTTTTACTGCACGCTTTCTTTATAATTGGCATTTTATGGTACAAAAGTCATGTAGAAAAGCATTCTTTATAATACCTCATACTACTCACCATCAGCGAAAAACTGAGTCCAGGTCAAATGAGGAATATACTGTGCTTCATGCATGATTTATAGAACACCGAACACTGAGCTTTAGCCCGGTTGTTGCAAGCAAAATTTACACCTTTTATTTTTTCAGCTGCAGACACGCTCGTCATCAAAACCGCCTCCAGTCCCACCTCATCGCCAGTCAATGTTTGAAGGAACAAAAGGACTAATGGATAACCTATCAGCCAGTGACGGCATGATGACATCATCGGTAATTGAACCAATGACGTCCGCGTTCGGTTCGACAAAAAGCAACCTTGGCAGTGTGCCAAAGGGTCTTGAAGACAACCTTACGGCGTCGATCGATAACATAAACTCGTGGATTTCGTCGTTTGAAAGTCTGATGACGACGTCTTTCCATGATGTCATGCGGGACTCAATGTATTCGACAAGAAGTGATTGCAGTTCGACAATTACTAGGGATCGAGAGGTGGGAAGCTGTGGAATAGCTGGAATAGTTCGCTGCGGACGGTTGGGCGTGTCAGGCGGATGAGTTTGGCGCGGTGCCAAACCCGTTCTCCACCAGTTGTTAAAGCGAGCAAATGATATGACTGTATCATATCGTTCGTATTACTCGTTTTCTACCACTTTTTGTCGCATGCGCGCTTCAACAAGAAGGCAGAGAACGGCTTTGACGGCGTGACACACTCATACTGCCTGACACGCCCAACCGTCCGCAGCGAACTAGAGTGTATATTGATCAGTAACATATAATCTTTCTTTAGGATTCTAACGCAGCGACACTCGTGGCATCGTCGTCAGGCTCGGATGGCGAAGGAACACCATTAGCAGTCACGCCAGTTCCTGCCGAAAACGTAAAAGTAGTTTGAAATCCATTTGAGCGCGGTTGAGCTGCGCAATTTCTTACGTTGGGGATGATTGATTAGGGGTTGATTAATTAAAGGCATAAATAAAATGGATAAAGTCTTCGCCGTTGATCAATCCCTTTGTGGGATGCGGCACGCATTCTACTTCCATTCAGAATCGTAGTGGCTTATTGAATGCGATGTGGCCTATACAATGACTTGCGAGATGTACAAGTCAGTGTTCTTGCCCTTTCGGACGGAACTGGTACTAATTTATAGCCCCCGGAGGAAAGCAGGCTCGATTGGTCCGAGCAGGAGATAACCCGGGATTTGAACCCGCGACAGGAGGTAAGCGCGCCACTTGCCCTTGGGTCTAAAATAATAAGAAGAGTGTTGTGTAGTGGGAATGTGGCGAAAAAGCAAAGTGAAGCGTCAAAAATCTGCAAAAAAGTCTTTGTTTTACACGACCAAGAGAGCGATTTCGGACGAGTTCACCGTGGGCAAAGCCGCTGCGGTAGATACGGCCGCACGTGTGTGCCCACATATCACTCAGCATCGCAGATGCTTCATAACAGTCCCTTCGCTTCACAGTGTACTTCGCGAAATGAAGCGATACGAGCATCAGGTGCGAACGTACATTTGTGGGCGGGCGGACGTCCAGGTCGGTATACTGCAGCCTGACAGGGTGCTATAAGATCCCTCATGTCTCAGGAATTTTCAGTTTCTATCCGATTTCAATTGCAGGCTCCTGCTATGTCGGAAAAGCCCGGCTCGTCGGAAGCAACGATGATTTCCAACCGCATGAACACCAGTTCAGCACACCATGTAGAGGTAAGCTGTGGGGGCGTGTAGGATCGCAGTCAAGGCATCATACGAACAAAATTGCGCGATTGGACTGTTATGTTAAGCCCAAATCATCTTACAGTTTGATGTGAGTGAATTACTTCATCGGCTGTCTCATATTGTTAGAGAAGTCCTAACATAGTTTCAGCAGATAACTTCCTTTCAATATACCACTCCAACAGCGAACCAGAGTAGCCTATTTCAGTCTGCACTACGGGAGTGCGATAGTAGCAGAAGACAACTATCCAATTGTTATAGTTTCCCTCATAGTCCTACAAATTCATGGAGTGTACCCTCAAAATTTCATACGGAGTGACAGGGCGAGTAGACAGCCTGTTTACTGATCGTGACTACTGTGTCTTTAGAATGGTCAGACCGGCCTTCCTTCAATCCAAGTGTTTCTAGAATTAAGACTTCCATGGTCGAGCCATGCAAAACACATTTTGAAGTATAGCTGTTGTCAGAAAAAAGAAGATCTCAAGAAGGATGACTACTTCGTTTTGCTCATCTGACGAGTTATCATCACGCTCCGCGGATCGACTCCGAGATCGGCTCCTGTCCGAAACAAACAAATTTTCTACCCTTTGAGACCAGTAATCTGGTACCAGATTGGCTCAGGAGGATAAAAGCAGCCGACTTGATCTTCAAGATCTGCTTCCCATGGCTTGAGTCTGAGACTCAAGCTAATCCTAGAGCGCATCGGGACCTAACCAACGACCCGGCAACCTCTCTGGACAACTTTCTCAGACCTCTCGTTCTATGCCAACAAAGCGATCGTGCCGCCTTCAGCTCGCTTCGCTCATCCAATACACATACCTGCTAGTACCATCTAACTGTGTAAAAAGGAAGAAACGGTGTAAAAAGTGAATTCGTGGCAGAAATCGCTTTTGAGCTGCGGTGAGCGCGACAACTAAGGGGCATCAGAACGCCCATAATGAGGGCCACAGCGCCTTCATCACCTGCTGCAAAACTGCAATTTTCGAGGTTAACTACTACAAGGGAGAACGCTTATGAATTGCTTGAGCGCGGGGACTGTTTTTACGGGCAGCTGTCAAGGACGGACAAACACACAGCTTCTCTTCAAGCAGCGTAATTTTTGGATGAGGAATATTCTCTATCCCATCTTGCTGCTTCTCAAGACAACAAAATTCTAAAATATGTGATCTATTAGGTTCCGCATCTATCTCATTGTCAATATCCTTCCTTTTCTCACTGTCAGGATCGGCTAACCTACTTTAGAGCGTCCAATCGGGTTCTCGTCCAAGGTGAAGGCGTTCACCATGCAGAGGGGGAGTATCGCGACTTCACGCGATTTTACTTTGAAGTTACATACACATCCTTGTGGTCTTGTGCGCATTCCTTTGTAGAAAATCAAGCGCGCCCGGGTCACGTGTGAATTCCTCTAGGGGGGACAAAAAGCTGTCCAGATGGCGGGGCCTGAATAAAGGAACGCGCACTGCTGATCTTGCTCATTCCATGCCTTGATATTATTGTGCCTTTTCATTTTTCTCATCTCATGGCGATTGATGCTTTACATTGCTTTACATTGATTTACATTTGATACTGTATCCGGCTGATTATGGGTATACTGTTTTTACAATGCTTGTTTAATTACCCAAGTTTGAGGTAAAGAATTCGTGCGCTTTGTGTGGTTGATTTTGGTGGTGCGCTGTATTGCGACTATATTCATATCAATTTGATATAGGGAGAGAGAGAGCTCATGAGCTGTCAGAAAACACGTACTCTCACATCGCAACCATGAAAGGAGGTGGCAGAACAGTGGTAAAGTTCGGAATATTTAACTCCGAGACTTTATGACAGGGTAAGGCATTGGTCGTTGAGAGGTTCCACCACTAGGCGCACCCCCTTACTCTCGCATTTATTAGGTCATCCCTTTCAAAAGTGCCGATGGTTTTATTCGAATAAAACGAAGAGGAGAATAGATAGAAAAGTGATATTTTGGCTTCAGTTAAGTAAATCCCTCCTTCACCAATGACCCGCTCCCAGTGCCCCGAGGCCTTTGGACCTCTGGTACCTTCGTTTTTTTTTTTCAACAAGTGAGTAAATTGCTGTTGATGCCAATTTCGGCGATTGACAAAATGTTGAGACGTTTACTGTCAGTACTCTCAACTGACCAGAACAGCTGGAATCGAAGGGCTTATGTTGGGCGAATGGGGCGATTGAACCCAGGTCTCAGTATTGTTTGTGTCCCAGCACTGCCCTACAATACAGTTACTCGGGGTCTGGCACTATGACGAGCAACGGTGGCCTTCTTGTAGTTGTGTGGTATCATCTATGTCGATCTGATTGCCGAGGAACAGGCAATCAGATCGACAGATGGATGATAATGGCAATCATACACCGACAGCGACGATTTTCTTCTTTGTATAGAGCCGCCTGAAAGCCACAGTGTGGGAATCCTTCGCTATGATGATCATCCACTTGCGCCCACGTAACTCCTCATGGTAGAACTCGGGCGGCTTCTCATCTGCATTCATAGATTGTGAGTTTTGGCTCGAGGTCCAAGACCACCCATATTTCATCTAGGGCCGGGGTGCGTTTTCACAGTCGTGAATGACATCTCATGCTGAGAACATTACTGCTAGAGGCATAGAATCGGTACTGCGTTCGTGCTTCTACAAGAAAATTAGGTACCCATGCGCACACCCTCTTGACCATCCTCAGTTTATCGGACATAACTCGGGCAGCAGTTGCAGCAGGGATGTCAGTCTCGCGGGAAGCTCGACAAAGGTCCAGGCTCTGGGATCAGACATTCAGCGCTTGACTTCATCCACCCTTTTTCTTGTGCAGGATGAACATTATGGGACCATCCACGACAACAAATTTTTTCCTTTCTTCCTTCTTCGGGCTCCTGAACCAAACCTTCCACCTTGTATATCGAGAACACCATTACACACAACTACTGGTCCGGCGCAGGTCAAATTTGAGCAGCGCACTTTCCTCTTATGACGTCTGATTTGAAAATCCGGCGCTGATTTTCACCACTCGGGCTTCTTTTCAATTTCTCGAGAACTTCTTCTGTAGCTAGGATTAACCAAATTTCACAGATACACAGCTAAGTATTCGTATTCTATTCTATATTCTTCAAATGGTATAATAGCCCACTGCTCTATCCTCTTTACTTGTCTGCCATTCCAAATGTCTCGGCACTTTTTAATGGGATGACCTAATAGTTCGGCGCCGCAGAACTACCATACAACTACTGTTCCCAATTTTTTTCTGATAGTTGGAGTTAGTAGTTGATTGTCAGTCTCCACCCTTGATCATCATTTTTTTGGCGAGAAGCTGTGAATTTTTCCAAGAAAAACTGGGAAAAAGTGGTTAGAAGTAGGGAGAATAGGAAGGTGGTGAGTAGGATAGGAAAAAGGGTCGTACTTGCACATACATTTCACACAAACGATGTTCTACTCAAATTTTTTTACTTTGAGACTGAACGTGTTTTATACGAATCGCGCTTTTCAGACATCTGAGACGTCGCCGAAACCGATTCCAGCTCCCCGAACAATCTTGACCAGCAAAGATCGGATATCAACTTCGGCTTGCTCAACAGCAGCAAAGTCCATGCAAATAAAAGCTGTACGGTCGATTGACACAAATGACGCCATGGAGGCCTCAATTCTGCACCAGGACTGCAACGTCGTCGTCGGAGGGTCGCCATCGGTCATTCGTAAGCAGAATATGAGGAATAGTCCACAAACGGATGCCGACAGCAGGCTTAGCTCGTCAATCGCTCGCCTCAGTCGATCGGTCTACGGAGAGCTAAACGAGGATCAGGTTTGATAAGTCTTTCATGAGCTCCCGCTGAAAATGCGCTGAATACTTAGCCATGCGGCAGATTCTTGGATCCTTCCCTTTCAAAAAAGGCCTGTGCGCAACGTCAGAGTTTTGCCTCTTTCGCGGCTTCAGGATGAGTGACAGACGCCGTCACAAGTCAAAGGAGCGCCATCCGGCCACCCGTAGACATTTCCTCATCCGCCTGGGGACGGGAAATGCCAGCATGTTTCTACCTATAACCACATCTATGACGCGTTTCGTTCAGTCTGCTTGGGAACCGATCTCTGTTGTCTCGTTTGCCTTCTGCTTCTCTCATCTTTCCTCTCTGATGTCTCGTCCGCGCAGCAGTGTCTCGCACCTACGACTACACGTGCAATCCTAAGGCCTTAATTAAAATGTCCTCCGCACTTTTCTGACCACTTCTTTACTGATAAGCCAAATGGCGTCCACAAATTCTGGTCTAGACCATGCAATTACGTATTAGTTGTGTCTTCAAATGCAGGAAAGTTCAGTAAACCTTCAAACCTTACTGAGGTACATATGGTTGTGATTCCCGGATGTGATCTTGCGTGTGACGCGGCGCATGTTGAAACGAAGCTAAGGCGTACTTTTTCCGCCAGTAATGCCATTCTGAGCCCGCTACTGCTGGTGGGGGATTTGAACTGGCTACCCTCTAAGCCGTGCCCCCGTTGGGCGCTGTATCATTTGCAGGGATTACTGACCCTCACCCCCCCCTGCATATCATCACCTTATCCCGATAATCCCAAGCCAGGAGTGTCCCATGTAATACTGCATAAAGGATGAAGCGTTCAGCGTTGATTTTTTGAGAACTCAGCCCATTTCACTTCCAAACATGTATTTTCTGTTGAATGTGACTTGACCCAGGGAATCGCATGCGAGGGCTAGCCTCTGCCCAATTAATAAAAGAAATAGACATCAGTAGGACAACAACTACAAAAAGTAATGGTTTCGTTACGCAAGGGTCTTTCTATGGTTTTTCAATACTCTGCTGCAAATTGACCGCGGTCCCTAATAATATTAAAACGCGCCGTATGTATGAGTTATGATTCAGCATGAAATCAAGATTGCTGAGCCAATAATATACTTGCCGAACTCGATCACAAAAACGCTTGCCACTTGCTTTTTGAGGAGGCGACCACTAAGCAAACAGGCCTGGGTTCAGGCAGACCAATTAACATGGTTCAAAGACGATGCGTGTCGCATAAAGTAGCTTCTTGTGCGCTTACGTTTTCTGCCTTCAGCGCTAAGAAATGGCCCAGCGCGTCGATCTTTGAGTAAGAAATACTGGTCCGGAATTGTGGGTGGAGCAGAACTGAATCTCCAGCA